AAGGCTGCTGTTCCTGCTAGGACAGGAGGTAGGCCAAGTCAGAATGGGTCAAAGACCCACTAGTGCACATGAGAACTGTGACTGGGAGGTTACCTGATAGAAGAGCTTGAAGAACTCCTGTCAGGGCACAGTCCTTGCAGGTGAGCTCGAGAGCCAAAGGCTGGGAGCATCCCGGCCTATGTGTAGGTCAGCTCCTGGGGTAGACAGGGCATGACCAGTTCATAGTGCCCACTGGCAGATGTGAGAATTAGGACAGGGTTCAGATCAAGCTGGGTTGGGCCACAACACCAGCCAGTTCACATTAGGGCAAGACTGGGGACTGGCTAGGCCAGGCTAGGCTGCAGCACACACTAATATGAGCTGAGAATGGGGGCAAGTTGGGCAGAGCCAGGCTGCAACAGCTGCAGCAAAGGCCAAAGTGAGGTGGGCCATGCCAGTCTGGGCCACAGCACCCACCAGCACACACAAAACTCTGGGGGGTTGGGAGTGATCCCAGTGGAAGGGCATTGGGGGTTCCCCTGCTGGGCCACTTCTTCCACTGCTATTGAGCATGAGAGCTGGGACTACTGGTGGAACAGTCTAGGCAGTGCTACAAAACCCTTTAGCCTGCATGTTAGCTTGATTAGAGAGAGAATCAGGCTGGGCTAAGCAATCACATCCATGGTGCAGGGATAAACCCAAGCAGGTACAGGCTGGTCGGGATAGAAGTGCTGGGATCGGAGATCAAAGCCTGTCAGGCTAAACTGCAGTACCTCCTGGAAAGTGCAAGATCTGAGGCTGGGAGTGGACCTAGTACAGAAACTGGGGGTACCCCTCTGATGAGCTGCAACTCCCACGAGAACCAGGGCTGGGGATGGGCCTAGATGGACAGGCAGTGATACCTGCTGGCTTAAGGATGGGCTGGAGAGGGGGGTCAGTTGGACTGAGCTAGACTACAACACCCACTGACATATATGAGAGCCAAATGGGATGCTGGGACCAGTCTGCTGCACATGCCTGCATACGTAGGAACTGAGGCTGGGGGCAGGCCTGGTGGGGGTTATTGGGAGTCACTCCAACTGGGCTGCAGTTCCTGCTGGTATGAGTGAGAATCCCAGTGTGTTGTGAGTAAGGTTGGGCTGGGACACAGCATCCATTGGTTTGCATATTAGATGGGGCTGGGGATAGAAATGACAAGATGATTGCAACCACCAGTGTGTGTGTAGGCTGATGTAGGTAGTGGCCTGAGCAGGACCCTTCACTGGCTGGCATACTTGGGAGTCAGCTCTGGGGTTACCTCTGGTGAGGTTTCTTTGGGGATCTGCCGAACTGAATCGCTGGACTCTAACTCACAGGATCTGTGGTCTGAGCATGGAGTGCATGTGTCAGAACCGGGCCTCCTCAGGTGCTGAGGCCTGTGCAGTGAACAGCATGCCTATATGGTCTTGGGAGACATGACAAATCACTGAGGCCTTCAGAAGATATCTAGTACTGGACAACTATCTTGGCTGAGCTTTGACAGCAGGTATCTTGGCAAGTGGAGACTCAAAGGTGGACTATATCAGCCAATGGACTGTGGAAGGAATTCCCCAAGTTGGAGCAACAAACCAACAGCATCTCAGAATGATTGAAGCCACTTAAGTAGTGCCCTCAGAACATGCTCCACGTCGGCGACCCTGGGATAACATTGGGCAGCCTTCCTCCATCCCTGGGTACTGATGTGGTTAGGATACTGGGAACAGCCCTCTCCCTTTCCCTTCCCCCTCCTCCCAGATACAGGAAGAAAAAAAAAATTGGAAACAGTTGTCATACCCACCTTCCCCCATTCCTTGACCCTTCCCACCATAACTGGTGATCCACATGGGCATGCATCCTTTTCAACTATGAGAAGACCTGGGGCCCAGCGTAGTAGCTAGTGGCTAAATCCCTACCTTGCATCTGCCAGGATCCCATACGAATGCTGGTTCCTGTCCCTGCTGCTTCACTTCCCATCCAGATCCCTGACTGTGGCCTAGGAAAGCAGTAGAGGGAGGTCCATGGCCTTGGGACCCTGCACCTACATGGGAGACCTGAAAAAAAACTGGCTCCTGATTTCAGATTGGCTTAGCTCTGGTCGTTTGGGCTGTTTGGAGAGTGAAACAGCAGATGGAAGATCTTTCTCTCTGTAACTCCTTCCCTCTGTATATCTACCTCTCCAGTAAAAATAAATAAATATTTTTTTAAAGTGACAAGACCTAAAAAGACTTGCTAACATGACCCCACCCCATACTGCAATTGCTGAAATGCAATGAAGCCCAACCAGCTTGCACAAAGTTATGCATCCTTGCCATCTCGGACACATAGGCTGTGGACCGAGCTGCCTTGGGGTTAAGCAGGTACAGAGAGAAACAGGTAAGAATCTCCCAAGCTGGGGAAGAACATGTGTGTTGGGGAGCCCCTATCGAGTGAAGCAAGAACTACAGCCAAACGTGCTGAGTCAGCCAGGGGACACCAGCCTCCAAGAGGAACAACAGAGACATCAAAACACCAGACAGGAGGCAGAATATGAAGGAACACTTGTCAACTTTCTTCGTTGCTGAAATATGTTTAGCAGCCAAACAATGACAGTGCTGGATTATATGTACGGGCACAGTTTTCATTCTTCTTTGAAACTTTATTCATTATTGTTACTTATGATAAAGCTGATATCAATGTTAATATTTTAAATATCGATTTAAATTTGAATGATAGGGTTATAGAGAGCAGGAAGGACGGAAAGACAGATCTTCTGTCTGCTGGTTCACTCCTCAGATGGCCACAGTGAGCTGAGCTGATGTGAAGCCAGGAGCTTCTTCCCCACGTGGGTGCATGGTTCCAAGGACCTGGGCTTCCTACACTGCTTTCCCAGCCCACACGCAGGAACCCAGTGTCACCTATGAAAATCAGTAGAGTCCCAGCTCCTCCATTTGAGATCCAGCTGCCTGCTAGTGTACCTGGAGCAGGAGGCTCGAGGATTGGATCCCTGCCAGCAACACAGGAGAGCTCCCTTCACAGAGTTCCAAGTTTCTGGCTTTATCTGTACAGCCACTGCAGCCATTTGGGGAGTAAACTAGTAGATGGATTCCTCTCTCCGTCCCTCACCCACTGTCTCTATACTTCTCTTCCAATAAAAAAAAAAAATAAATTCTAACAAAAAAACCAAAAACCAATGCACAGACCAGAGGATCCAGCGTTGTGCAGCAGGAAATAAAGCCACCACTTGCAATGCTGACACCCTAGACTGGGTGCCAGTTCACGACCCTGTTGCTCCACTGCCATCCAGCTCCATGTTAACTGCCTGGGAAAGCAGCGAAGGATGGCCGCATGACCTGGATACCTGGCACCTACATGGGAACTCGGAAGCTCCTGGCTTCAGGCTGACCCAGCACTGGCCATTTTGGCCCTCTGGGGAGTAAGCTGGCATATGGAGGATCTCTCCCATTCCCTCTCTGTAACTCTTTCTAAATAAATCAACCTTTCATAAACATACACGCTGAGACCAGAAACAAAGCCCACAAAGCAATGCTGTGGATCCAGAAGAAGGCTGCCGGCAAGACAACACAGACTTCCACTGGGTAGTAGCATCCCACCATTTCCTAAGGCAGAGACTAACAGCGGTCAGCAAGTGGTGAGTGTGTGATAGGGCCTTGATTTGTCTTTCCACTCGCTGACCTTGTCCATGGAAGCATGTTTCCCTGCTACATCAAGAGAGGATGGTTACAGTGGGTTCCAGATGAGCTATGTCAGCCCCGCCCTCCCCTGCTTTCACGGGAAAGCCACTGGCGTCCTGGCTGAGCTGGAGCGACTCTCAGAATTAACAAAGAGATCTGAGATCTCTGGAATGCAAAGAACTAAGCCCAAATCTGTGGTTTATAAGGACAAATTGGAAAAGAAAAGGCAAAATTCATGAGTTTGCCACAAAACCAGCATATATATATATATATATAAGATATATATATCTTAATTTCCTTGCACATAAAAATAAAAAGCTGTGGAGTTTCAGAAAGTGAAATTAAAAGCTGGAATATAACTTCCTATCCTACCCACAAGAAAAAAAAAAGGTGATAAAAGAAAACCATATTACCACAGGAAATCTTTGGAATATTAGACCTGACTGAAAATGAACACTAATGGTAAAGATTGCAGAATCTGCTTCCTTATGTTTTAACAAGAACCTGGAGTAGCAGTGAACTTCTCACTCTGTACTATTGATTTTAACAGGAGTCAACTACCTGGACCAGATAATAGGTCTGACTTTTCTCAGGATCACAGATCATTATGGGAAAAAAAAAAAAAAGATGAAGAATGGGTGGCACTATACGATGAGCCACTGCCTTCGACACTGGTATCCCATATGAATGCTGGTTCTTCTAGCTTTTCCACTTCTGATCCAGCTCCCTGCTAACACGCCCTGGGAAAGCAATGGATGATGGCCTAAATATTTGGGGGTCACCCACATGAGAAAATTGGATGGGATTCCAGGATCCTCGTTTCAGCCTGACCCACCTTAGCTGTTGAAGCCACTGGGGAGTGAACCAGTAAAAGGAAGTGTTCTCTCTCGCTCTCGCTCTCTCTCTTTCTCTCCATCTCTTTGGTAATTCCTTCAAATAAATGAATTCTATACACTTTGTGATGTTAGCGGATAACTGTTGCTCTTATTGTGTGGATGATTTCAGCAGCTAGTTTGTGTATGTCAGATTCTTGCCTCTATTCAAACTGGCCTTCAAAATGTAGAAATGCACTGTCTTGCATAGCAACTGGGAAGCAGGACAGTTCCGGGTTGGTTATTTCAGATCTCAGCAAGGACCTACGATGCTCCCTCTCGCCCTCTTCTCCCTGCTGCCATCCTCGGCAGTTGTGTCCTGTCCCTCATGCCCATTCAAAACGGGTGATACAGCCACGCCTCAAGGCCAGGACCTCCCCCAGTGACCTTCACTCCTGCCAGTGCTCCAAGTTCACATGCAGCTGGCAGGGAAGGTGCAGCCTCAGCCACAAAGTGCAGAGTATTCTTTTATTATAAATAATTAAAGCTGATAATAGGCAAAGAAAACAGACATTCTCTTTAAACAAAAATAAATAATAAAACAGCCAAAAGTTAAATCTTCAAGCATTGGCACTCTAGTATTTACACCCTTCAACCTGGGACTTTTATATTCCTAAAAGCATATTACATGAATCATAATTTCTTTAAGTCTATATAACAATTGTCATAATCATCTTAACACTAAATATCAACAGATGACAGCTTTGATCACTTGGGAGAATTCATTTCAATTCCATGAAAAATGTCAAAAAATATTTACAAATTTTGGTCTTCTGCATAGGTCACCTGTAAACCTCTTAGATAGTTCATTCTTTTTTCCAAAAGTGTAAATGGCTCATAAGTTCTCTGAACTTCAGTATCAAGGAGCAGTTAATCACGTTGTCTTTAGTCCTCCTAAACTTGTCATAATAACTTTCTTTTTTCCATTTTTCTCTCCATGAGTCTTTGAATTTTTTCAAATAACTTTCCTTTTCAGATTCTTCCTTCCACACTCCTTCTCCTTTTTTTAAAGCTGTTAATTCGGCTTTAAGTAATCTCCTGTGAATTTTCCAATAGATCTTAGAATCATGATTTAGCCCTTTAACAAGAATAGTTTTGCCAAGGCCTCTTCTCAAAATTTCCTCGTTTAGATTCACAGTAAAATATCTACCCTAGAATTTTAAAAAAAAGTTTAATAACATTGTTATATCCATAACATCCTAATTACATTAAAAGCTATCATTCCTTAATTTTAGTGTCCTCCCTCTCCAAAAAAAAGCCAAAAATTAAAACAGAAAGGACCTCATGAGTTTTAAAATCTGATCAGTTTTGGTCAAGTGAACTGAGTCTTTATAACAGAATTCTCCATATCCATTCTCTCCAAACTCGAAGTTTTTTTTTTTTTAAAGATTTATTTATTTTTATTGCAAAGCCAGATGCACAGAGGAGGAGAGACAGAGAGGAAAATCTTCTGTCCAATGATTCACTCCACAAGTGACCACAATGGCAGGTGCTATGCCAATCCGAAGCCAGGATCCAGGAGCTTCTTCCAGGTCTCCCACACGGGTGCAGGATCCCAAGGCATTTGGCCGTCCTCGACTGCTTTCCCAGGCCACAGGCAGGGAGCTGGATGGGAAGCGGGGCCACCAGGATAAGAACTGGCACCCATATGGGATCCTGGCACGTGCAAGGTGAGGACTTTAGCTGCTAGGCCGCTGTGCTGGGCTCCCAAAGAGGTTTGTAATCAATTATATATAAAGAAGTTTTCTTGGAGCAGGCACTGTGATGCAGTGGGCTAATCAGTGGCTTGGCAAGGTCAGCATTCTATACCCCAATTTCCAGTTCCAGTCCTGGCTACTCTGCTTCCAATCAAGCACCTCAATAATAATTCTCAGAGATAAGGGATGATGACCCAAGCATTTGGGTTCCTGTCACCAATACAGGAGACCCACATGTACTTTCCAGCTCCAGGCTCCGGCCTGGCCCAGCCCCGACTGTTTTGGGTATTTGAGGAGTGAACCACCAGATAGAAGACTGATATTCTCTCTCTCCTTGCTTTGCATTTAAAATAAATATATCTTTAAACAATATTTTTTTTACAAATAAGATACTTAAAAATTAATGACTATTTTTCTTTTAAAGACACTTAACTTAGTGTGCGTGGGCCCCAGCTTTCCAAAGGGGAGACCCGGATGAAGCTCCTGGCTCCTGCTTCTGGCCTAGCCCTGCCCCAGCCATTGCAGCCATTTGCAGAGTAAACCAGTTCAGACTTAAAACACATACACTCTGACATACCCGTGGCCAAGGTTCTGGACCATACTGAGCAACATTTACCTTCTGAAAACACTTGTCACTGTGGTTCCCAGGTGACGCCCTCACTCAACAAGTTTTTCTAATAATAAATGTGTTACAATATACCTATGAACAAATACATTCGTAAACATACTCCTGGGTACTGGAACGTAATGGGTTAAGTCCGTCTGAAATGCTGAAATCCCATATGGGCACTGCTTTGTGGCCTGGCTGCCTGCCTGTTCCACTGCTGACCTAGCTGCCTGCTAACATGCCTGGGAAAGCAGTGGAAGATGGCCCACGTGCGTGGGCCCTGCACCCATCTGAGAGGCCTGGCTGAAGCTCTTGGCTCCTGGCTTCAGCCTGCCCCAGCCCTGGCTGTTACTTTATTTTAGAAGTAATCAGCAGATGGAAGATCTCTTTGCCTTTCTCTCTCTCTCTCTCTCTCGTCTTTCAAATAAATAAAATTAAATTGTTCAAAAGGAAAAAAAAAAAGTAGCAATGGCCAGAGGCATTACTAATTTGAATGTTTTCTTCTTTTTATAAAACACTTTTATTTGTTTGTTTGTTTCCATGTTTATTTGAAAAGCAGAGACACAGAGACAAAGAGATCTTCTATTTACTGGTCCACTGCCCAAATGCCCACAGCGGCAGGACCTGGGCCAGCGCAAGGCCAGGGGGCTGAAGCTCCATGCGGTCTCCCACGCGCCCTTGACCCCCGTCTGCTGCCAGCCAGCAAGGGCATCGGAAGGAAGCTGTAATCACAAACAAAATCTCTATTCAAGCCCAGGAACCCCAACGTGGCCTGTGGGGCCTTAATGCTGGGCAAAATGCCTGCTCCAGAGACAGTTCCTTTTTTCCTTTTCTTGGTAAATTTCTGTCTTGTTCTACATTAAACATATATTACATATGTGACTTAAATTTAAAACAACATTTATATAAGAAACCCTGGTTCTCCATATATAGTCACTATTAGCTGTTTCAAGATTTCAAAAATTCAGAGCTCATTTATGCATACATGTGTACATATACATATATATATACACACACACACATATGCATTATAATTCAATGTGCGTACATACATACAATATAATATTACCAGTTTGACACTACTTACCCTGTTCACTAACAGGTAGCAAAAGAGTGCTGAATTCTCCTTTCCGAGCAGCTGGAACCACAGCGACTGGGAAGGCTTTAGCTCTTTCTGTAACCATCCCTTCCCAGCCTCGGTGAGTTCTACCCCAGCCAGCTTAACCAGCAAAGCACCACCTGGATCTTCTAAAAACGGCAGAAAAGGGTTTAGCTTTAATAGCGTATTACAAAAGCAAATTCCAAAGTCATTTTAAAAACATCTGAATATGCTAAGCTTATTTTTTTAAGGATTTATTTGTTTTTATTGTAAAGTCAGATATACAGAGAGGAGAGATAGAGAGGAAGATCTTCTGTCTGATGATTCACTCCCCAAGCAGCCGTAACAGTCAGAGCTGAGCCAATCCGAAGCCAGAAGCCAGGAGCTTCTTCCAATCTCCCTCGTGGATGCAGGGTTCCAAGGCTTTGGGCCATCTTCCACTGTTTGCCCAGGCCATAAGCAGGGAGCTGGATGGGAAGTGGGGCTGCCAGGATTAGAACCAGCACCCATATGCAATACCAGTGCATGCAAGGTGAAGACTTTAGCTGCTCAGCTATTGAACCAGGCCCCACCAAGCTTATTTTTAAAACCAAGCTCTCTACATCTCAGTACATATATTCTCTGTTCAAGTTTTAAAACAATATAAATATGTAACTCAATCATTTCAAAGACCAGTTTCAGTAAGCTCCAGAATAGGAAGTGATGTTTAACCAATTTGACCTTTCTTTTCCAACTTTCAAGATTTATTTGTATATACACACATAAAGCTGCAGACACGTATTTTTAGCAAATGAGCTGTTACTACCAGTAAAATTGTAGACATTGTCTTCTCATTTGATGTCACAGGAATATCTTGCAATCTCAATTAATTTAGCCAAATGTCATAGCTAATAAGTACTTTTTCTAGGGACTAAGAACATCAAGATAAATAGGAAAAGATCTGTATCCACAAGTGGCTCGTAGTTACTGATAGATTTAAACCCAGATACATCATCATTATAGGAAAGTCTAAGCCATTACTGTAATTACAGTGTACAGGTTGCCGTGGGGCTTAGTAACGAGAAAGGCTAATTTTGCTTGGGAGTGAAGGATGCTTCACAGAAGAGCTGAATCCTAAAGCATTGGATCCAAGGCTCCGAGCCATGGCCAAGCCATAGCATGTGCCAGAGCTCTGAGCCATGGCCAAGCCGTAGGATTTACCAGAGCTCTGAGCCATGGCCAAGCCATAGGATGTACCAGAGCTCCGAGCCATGGCCAAGCTGTAGGATGCATGCAGAGCTCTGAGCCATGGCCAAGCCGTAGGGCGTATGCAGAGCTCCGAGCCATGGCCAAGCTGTAAGGATGCATGCAGAGCTCTGAGCCATGGCCAAGCTGTGAGGACACACACTGAGCTCTGAGCCATGGCCAAGCTGTGGGGCACACGCAGAGCTCCAAGTCAGGGCCAAGCCGTAGGGATGTACCAGAGCTCCGAGCCATGTCCAAGCCGTGAGGATGCATGCAGAGCTCCGAGCCATGTCCAAGCCGTGAGGACACACACTGAGCTCTGAGCCACGGCCAAGCCGTGAGGACACACCAGAGCTCTATGAAGCTTAGGTCTGTGATGGAAGCTGGAGAAAGGGCATCCGCCTGCAGATGTGGCCTCCCACTCCCTTCCTCCCTGAGCCTCAGCTACCCATTCTCACCTCCATCACGAAACAGTCAAGTTCATTCCCCTGGTGCCCCTCCTTGGCTAGCCTTTCTAAACCTTGGGCCTCTGATTAAACAGCAGTTCCTCAGTGAGACGCTCTCTGCTTTCTCCACCTGCCTGTAGCCCCGATAACTCTTTATCCTAACACTCTGCTGCTTTTCTTCATAGCTCTAAGCACAGTTTTCATTTGTTCATTGTCTGCCTTCCACCTACAACACTAAGCTCCAAGCACTAGAAGAACCTTGCTGCTTTCATCTAGCACATTCTTGTACTGTTAGGTCCCAGACCAGAATTAATTAAGACATCAATATTTGTAAAATGAACAACTGACTACTAAATGTCAGACTGTGTAGTCGAGTAAAACCAAAAATGAGAGAAGGGAGAAAGGAAATATAAGGCCAAGCTAAACAGTTCCTGGCACAGAAGCCAAGTTCGGGCCCTCACAGACAATGCAAAGCTATTATGAACTAAAATGCATTCTTTCATGTTCTCATAAGTAACACAGAATTAAAAAACACAATGATAGTTACTTAGTATTATCGTTTTTGCAGCTTACTTACTTTTCCAGGATGATATAACAGGTAAAGTGATGGGAATATGTTCAATTTCTAAACCATTCTCAGTGATTCGGCGTAATCGTCCACGTAGCTTAACATTCTTTTTTATAAATTCTACTGGAATATCTGAAGAGCTTGTAAATTTTGATGTCTGTTGATTTACAAGGAGAAAAATACAACCTTTTATTATTTTTTCTATTTAAAGTTCAAAATGTCACTGCTGCCTAAACATTCAACAAGACATTTCCTTTAAAAATGTTAATTCAATATTAATAATGTAATATGATCTAATCAAACTATTTACAGAAACTTTATCTAGAATTCATTATTCACTATTTTTTTCTTTCTTTTTTTTTCATTATTTTCCTATGTCAAGTAACTGCATGGGAGACATTAAACAGACTCCTACCCCCTAACAACTTACAACCTCAAAATATGGCTCCATGTGTCAAGAGGCAGTGAGCGGCACCACACCAATGCAGGACCACTCTCTGCTTCCTCTTCCGCCAGCACACAGCCTATTCCCCACAAGGGTATACTCTGCTTTAAATATGAACAACCTGTTCCTGCATGTCCTGCTGGAAAATCTTAAAGCTGAGTTAAATTAAATTGTAACTTTTAACTGACATTATTTTTTAATCTTATTGAGGAAAGATAAAATGACTTGTTTAAAAAAAAAAAAAGGAAGCAAGGAAGAAAAGAAGTCCATATTAGAAACTTGCTTCCATCTCTGTCCCAGGGAAGGCTGAGGTCAGGCAACACTTCATACCCCTGCCTTTCACACTAACAACCTTCACCCAGAAGCATGGCCAATTAAAAACTCTCACAGCACAAGGATGTTAGTACCCAACAACTTTTTCTGATAGCAGAGTTGAACGAATATTTTGATCAATAAGAATAGCGCAGCAGAGCAACTGAGAATGTGGCGAAACTTATAACCTAAACAATGTGGTTTCTCTAAATCAATCAATGACTTGGGAAAGGGGGGAAGGGGGGTGTTGTGACTTAAGGTGACAAGTGCGTGCCATCCAGGCACCACTCAGGTCATCAGCTGAGGCCGCTCCTGGGGCTGCTGTGTGCTCACTTGGCAGATCTGGCAGCTTTCTTGTGAAGCAGCTCAGGAGCTAGAACACGCACCATGACCCACTAAAAGCCCAGGAAGGGTCAAGACGGAGAGCAAGCGTGTTCACGTGAAAGTGCAGACACCATCGTTCCACGGTGCAGCTTGAGATTCAGGGGCACTACCTGGTAAACGAATGAAACCTGCTCTGAATGACAGGGTTTGCAGCAAGGCAGATCAGATTCCAACTCGGTGGGCAATCACGCAATCAGACACAGCTGGACACGGAGACTCAAATGAGAACTGACAGGCTTCAACAGCAGACCCAAGTGTCTGCTAAAAACACAACTTGCACTTTACTCCAATTACGTTCGTGCAGGCCACGAAGACATTCTCAGTTAGAAATCGGCCAGTGCCATCTCATCCTGACCGCTATGGTACACGGATCTCCATTTCTTCATTTCCCCTTCCCTGTTCCTTCACTGCGCATAAGCTGGTGCATGCGCACAAGCATGCTGGGTCTATTTTTTCTTTTCTGCTTTTTAAAGATGTAATTATTTTTATTGGAAAGGCAACTTTACACAGAGAAGAAGAGACAGAAAGATCTTGCATCTGCTGGTTCACTCCCCAAATGGCTGCAACAGCTGGAGCTGAGCCAATCCAAAGCAAGCAGCCAGGAGCTTCTTCCGGGTCTCCCACGCAGGGGCAGAATCCCAAAGCTTTGGGCCGTCCTCCACTGCTTTCCCAGGCCACAAGCAGGGAGCGGGATGGGAAGTGGAGCAGCGGGGACACGAACCAGCACCCCTATGGAGTGTCAGCACTGGCAAGTGGAGGATTAGACAGTTGAGCCACCAGACCAGCCCCTCTTCTCTCTCTCTTTTTTTTTAACGGCTCATTGTATGTTTTGACTGAAACCAAATGGCGACAGGAGGAGAAAAATACTGGTTTTGTAAAAATATCTCTTTTCTCCACTAGTGACATGTTCATTTGGATTTTTATCTATATAGTCCGGTAATGTACTTTGCCATCACTGCTTTAAAAAAAAAAAAAAAAAAAAACACCCCAAGAACAACAAACTTAAAAATCCCTGCACATCTTGTTTGGAAAATTTTAATGTTTTTCATTTTTTATTATAAAATCAAGGACAATTTTACAGTATTTTTGCATGTAGCAGTTACATGTAGGGCAATCTGAATTTAAGTAGAGGTAAATTACTCTTAAAAAAAACAAATTCTAGATAGCTTTTCCTTCAAATCAACCAAGTTGTTTAAGTAAACTTCTTGTTTAAAACAAAAAGGCTAATTTGAACAGATCATCTTTTTTTTTTAAGATTTATTTTTATTATTTTTTTATTGGAAAGGCAGATATACAGAAAGGAGAGACAGAGAGGAAGATCTTCCGTCCGATGATTCACTCCCCAAGTGAGCGCAACAGCCGATGCTATGCCGGTCCAAAGCCAGGAGCCTCTTCAGGGTCTTCCACACAGGTGCAGGGTCCCAAAGCTTTGGGCCGTCCTCGACTGCCTTCCCGGGCCACAGGCAGGGAGCTGGAAGGGAAGCGGGGCTGCCGGGATAGAACCGGCGCCCGTATGGGATCCTGGGCGTGCAAGGCGAGGACCTTAACCACTGTGCCACCGCGCCGGGCCCCAGATCATCTTTTTAAAAGGAAAAAACACTGGGACAATCTAACTCTAGATACAGACTGGATATTAACTGAGATTATCATTAATTTCATTAGGTGTGATAATATTACAGGATAAACCAACATTATGAATTTTGATATAATAAAATAGACAGTATGGGTTATTATCTCCTTTTCTTGCCAAAGTATTTACACTCAATTTCATAAAGAAACAGACAAATCTGGACTATGGGACATTTTACAAAGCAGTTGGCTTAGACTAAAAAAATTTCAGTGCTATAATAGGTAAAAATATTTTTTTACAAGTAAGGGTAAAATTCTACCTTAAAGGAGACTAAGGCGATAGAACAAGGGAATACAACTGGCTGGACCTTGTGTTAGTTAACTGCAACAACAAACAGCAATGGGGCATTGCTGAGAAAACAAATGTGATTGTGAACTACATTTTAGATATTATTAGTGACATGTGAGGTTGACCATATATACAGGATCATGCTAATGTGGTTAGACTATAAAATATCCTTATTCCTGGGAAGTATATTATGAAGAGTTTACGAATAAAAGTTTCTGATATCTAACTTGCTTTCAAATAGTTTCACAGAGCAAAAGGGAAAGCATGTCTGTGACACACTGTGAGCCACCGACCAAGCCAGGTGGAAGGCAAACGTCACAAAATTTTCAGAAGAACTAGCCGAGAGGAAAAAGATTCTGAATCTGCAGTCAATATTTGTTCAAGAACCTGTGATACACAGACTGTAAACAAAAAAGAGAAAGCATCTTAAATCGAACCACAAAGGGGATGAGTCTCTTGACAAAGCTATGTAAGACAAGCTTGGGAGAAAAAGAGAGAAATGTGGGTCGGAGGGCTCCCATATGGCCTGGTCCCAACTACAGAAACACCAATGAGAAAACTGCCGGCTTCTCGGCAGCAGTAAGCCCTACAGCTGTGACCTGGGCCGTCCCCCAGACAGACCTTGAACGTGTTCATCAGTTCCTTGAACAGCGGCTTAAAGGTCAGCACGGCCATACGTTCGGGAGGACATGAGAACTGAAAAACGGCCAGCCCTGCAGGATGACGCGTAGTGGGAAAGCCTGCCATCGCAATCCCCAGTGGCACACACAGAAAAGACTTGGCGGTTTTAGTTAACTGAGCCCAATACATGTGCAAGTACAAAGCACAACTTGCGACTGCTGTTGCGGTGGGGCGGGTAGAGCTGCCTCCTACAGTGCCAGTCCCCCATATGGACGCTGGTTCCTTTCCTGGCTGTTCTATTTCCTACCCAACTCTCTACCCTTGGCTTGGGGAGGGCAGTAGCAGGCGGCCCCTGCCAGCCATGTGGAAGACCTGGAACAAACTCTCGGTCCTGGCCTCTGGCCTGCCCCGCACTGGTCACTGTGGCCACTGGCGAGTTCTCTGCCTCTGGCCTGCCCCGCACTGGTCACTGTGGCCACCTGGGGAGTAAACCGCAGTATGGAAGATCTCATTCTCTCTGCTTCTCTTTCAAATTTATTACTTTTTTTTTTAATGCAATCCACTCTCACCACCACTAAAAGAAAAAAAAAGTTCAACCTAAGGCAACATTATTAGGATCAGGTTCTAAAACAATATTAAAAAAAAAAGCAAGAGGAGACAATACCCACATCCTGAATCGGGCTCCGAGTACAAGAGACTGTCCTACTCTGGGTGCCAAATTTCAGAAAAGGTTTCACAAAGTGGAACACAGTTAAAATAAGAGAAAAATTAGCAAGGAGATTAGGATCTCATCACATGGGAAGAGGGAGGGTGAGCGTTAGCAGTAGGGAGGGTCATTACAGATTCTTCAACTACTGAAAGGCCAGTCCCTTCACTCTGAGCTGTTTGGAGGCCGGGGAAAGTATTCAGTCTGTGAAGGATGAACTTGGAACAGAACATGGTCATCTGGCTCCCAAGGGACTCAGAGTTCACGTGGAAAAGAGCCCACTGCCCCCCGGCTCAGGAGCCAAGAGCGAAGCATCCAGTGCCTATGTGCATGCAAAAATTTTGTTACATATATCTTATCAAAATTTTAAGAAGTAAAAAATGTATTTGTAAGATGTGAATCGTCCGATGACTCTCCTGTGTGTATCAGAAATATGGAAAGCGCTTCCCCCAAAGCATAAACTGTTCCGTGCTAAGGCAATAATTCAACTTTAATCCAAGTGTAAATGCACCACAGAACACAATCCTGCAGATATTCCACAGCATCTGATATATAAACTCATGCCAACTTTTTCAGATTCCTTTCTAAGCATTAAAAGGATGAGTACGAAATACCGACTGCAATTACCTGGATTTTATGTTATGCTCATAGTTAAAAAATACTATTCAAAGGTTTCCAATATGAATAATAAAATGATATAGCTTTTGAGATTAAACTCAAATTGAGGATAATCTATCTATTGCTTATCTTAACACCTTTTTCACTTTTCAACTTACCAGTCGAATACTTCTTAGAAACAGCATCATTCCAGCCACAGCCATCACGGTGCTGATGTTCTATGGAGAGAGCTTCAATGATTAATTCTCATTGACTAGTGAAAGAACTGGTTCAAAGGAGGAAAGGATACTGTCCTTATATCTAACCGCTTAAATGATGTGCATCCCATCCTTCAAATAAAGGTCCTGTTCTTCCAAAAACTGTCCACTCACTCATTACTCTTTCCTTGAATTTTCTAAAAATAAGATGTATTGTTTACTTGAAGGGCATAGTTACAGAGAGAGAAGGAAATAGGCGGAAACCTTCAACCCACAAATTCCCTCCTCCAGTGGCTTGCAAAGGCCAGGCCCGAAAAGACTGAAGCTAGTGGCTCCCCCGGGGCCTCCCAGGTGAGCGCAGAGGCCCAAGAATTTGGACCAAACTCTGCTGCTTTCCAGGTTCATTAGCAGGGAGCTGGACCGAAGGTTGACCAGCCAGGACTCAAACCAGTGCTCATATGGGATGCCAATGCTACAGGCAGTGGTAGCTTAACGCGCTACTCCACACACCACTTTTAAGTTTTCTAATACAGCTGATCTTTTCCAAGTAATCCAGCTTGTATAGATCTAGGTATGTAGAAAACCACAAACAAGTTAGCAGGGTAGGTGTTTGGTCCAAAAACCCAGATCCTAGATTCCAGTCGGGCCTCCAGCCCTGGTTGCAGCTTCGCAGGAATGCAGACCCCGGAGGCTGTGAGCACAGCTCACCTAGTCGGGTTCCTGCCACAACATGTGACCCCAGACCGAGGTCCTGAGTCCCAGCTTCAGCCTTGCCTTTGACCTTGCCCCGGCCCTCACACGCTTCCTGACAGTAACCCAGCAGGTGGGAGCTCTTCCTCTAACTGTCTCACAAACAACTAAATACATCATTTTTACAGAAATAAAAGATTATTTGGGCATTACATTTTTTGAAAAGGTACATATTTGGGATCTTCAAAAACACGGAAAAACATATGCATGGATTTCAAGAATTGTTTGTAGCCAAATAAATGCATCTTTTGATTTCACACACTGTCGTGTGCACAGACACACAAGTACATGTTTCTCATTGCTTCTATTTCTGTTTGAGTTCCTTGAGTGCCTGGACTGACCCAACACTTCCTGTACAGTGTGTGCAACCTTGCCGCCATGACGGCAAATAAAGTATTTGATAGAAAAACTTATTACTAAGATCTCAAAATACAGTGCACTGCTAAATCTATGTGGATAGCGGAGGGAAATTCAGAGATGTTATATTTGGGACCCAGGCTGTAGCACAACAGATTAAGCCACCACCTGCCATGCCAGCATCTCACAGAGGTACAGGTTCAAGTCCCAGCTCCTTCACCTCCGATCCAGCTCCCTGCTTGTGGCTGAGAAGACAGCAGAGGGTGGCTCACGTGCCTGGCACCGACTCATGTGGGAGACCTGGAAGAAGTTCCTGCCCCCCGGCTTCAGCCCAGCGTGGCACTACATGTTGTAGCCACTTGGGAAGTAAACCAAGAGATGGAAGATTTCTCTCTCGCTCGCTCTGCCTTTCAAATAAATAAGATAAAGTTTAAAAAAAAAAAGTTTTCTTTAAACTGAAGTGACCTAAGGGAGTTTAGGTTAGAATTAAGATTCCTATAATTCCAAGAAGATTGATAATCTAAACATGCTTTACTTCAGTAAACACAGCTTGGTATTTAAGAAATGAGCCTGAAAGCAGAGACAAGGGCACTTTTTGTTGTTGTTGTTGTTAGATTTTATGATTAGGTTATTTGGAATACCATGTTTATGTGCTTTCTTTTATTAAAAAAAAATTTCGGACCTGGTGTGATAGCGTAGAAGTTCAAGTCCTTGGCTTGCACACACCGGGATCCCATGTGGGTACCGGTTCTCATCCCGACAGCCCCAATTCCCATCCAGCTCCCTGTGGCCTGGGAAAGCAGTCGAGGACGGCCCAAAGCACTGGGACCCTGCACCGGTGTGAGAGATCTGGAGGAAGTTCCTGGATCCTGGCTCCGAATCAGCTCAGTTCCAGCTGTTGCAGCCCCTCGGGGAGTGAATCACTGGACAGAAGATCTTCCTCTCTGTCTCTCTTCCTCTCTGTATATCTGACTTTCCAATTAAAAAAAAGTAATAATACATCTTTTAAAAAGTTTTTCTAATATTATTTACATAGTTGACAAGGATGTATGCCCATGTGGACCCTATGTGCTTTCTTAGACACTGTTTCTTTCTGCAGTTCTTATGAGGTCAGTTTTAAATTTATTTGTTTCTGCGCCCAGGATCACATTTGCAGCAAGGTGCAGGAGCCAGGATTCGAACCAGGCACGCTGACATGTGCCGCACAGGAAGCAGCCAGGAGCCTCTGCCCCCATGCAGAAGTTTTCAAAGTTAACCCAGCCTTTCCAACACATTTCCTCACTTGGCTTCTAGGACACCTGGCCTTCCTGATTTTTTCTCCCCCCTCAGGTCAGCTCCTTCCCCGTCTTGCCCGGCCTTCTCTGCACTGTTCGTGTTCTAAGAGCGCCCCCGGGTCTCGGGTCCGCAGGGTCTGCGGCAGCTCTCACCATCTCACCCGGGCTCGAACAGCAACTACGACTCCGCTTTGGAAGCCCATCGTGCGTCCTCAGGGAGACAGGCCTCCGGGTTCACCCGCGGAAAAGCTCTCTAGATTTCCCCCAACGACCCCTTCACTCCAACGCCTCCTCCGCGCCGCCTGCATTCATCACCAAGCCGGGGACCCCCAGTTCCCAGCCCCTCCCTGGGCGGCTCAGGCCGGGCCGGGCTCGGGCCGGTCGTGGGCGCCGCCGGGTGCCCAGGCCGGGCTCGGGCTGGTGTCGGGCTGGCGTCTGGCTGGCCTCGGGCTGGCGTCTGGCCGGGCTCGGGCTGGCGTCTGGCTGGCCTCGGGCTGGCGTCTGGCTGGCCTCGGGCTGGCCCGCGCTGCCCCCTGCCCCGCCATCGCGCCCCGCTGCGCCTCAGACGCGCCCGGGCCGGGCCCAGTCCCTGCGGCGGCGGTGGGGGCCGAGCTGGCCGCCCTGACGCCGCACACGCGGCCCTCCCGGCCCGGCCGCGGCCCGCAGCCCGAGGCCCTTCCGGGACTGCGGTACCTGGACGAGGCGCAGGTGGTCGTCCGCCCACCGAGAGATGTCCGCCACCACTTTGGGCGCCGTTCTCTCCCGCTCGCGGGCCGGCCGCTCGGGGCCCGCCATGTTGGCGGCCTGGTGCGTGCGCGCGGCGCGCTCGCGGGTGCACGGCAGGGGGCGCCCTTCCCCGCCGCGGCGGCCTCGCGGGTTTGCTTCGCTGCGCGGTCTCGCTGCACGCAGGGTTTTCCACAGCTGTGCGGTAGCGATGCGCCCGGGCCGTAAATCTACGGGCTAGCTGAGCAGTGGCTCACAGAAACGCAACCCGAGGGAAGAAATACAGGTACTGCATTCCTTCGAGCCGCTCCCGAAGACAACCCCGTGCCTTACTGCTTGTGTTTAAATTGTGCTTCCAAGGTGTCAGAGTTCTCAGTACACTCTAAGCGTTTGAACTGTTAAATAGCTTCAACGGGTCTTCAAAATGTGGAAAATGTGTTACGAAAAAAGTATGTGTGAGCATCCGGGGCAGCTGTTGTGGTGCAGTGGGTTAAGGCTCCGGCTTGGAACACCCACCTGACACATCCGATGCCTGCGGGGGTCCCGACTCCAATGCACCTGACTTGCTGATGTACCTGGGAGGCAGGGACCGAGTCCCTGTCGTCCACGTTGGAGACCTGGGCGAGTCCATTGGCTTCTGCCTAGTCTAACTCCACCGCTTGTTGCAGGAGTTTGGGAAGGGCGCCAAAGTGACAGAAAATCTCGGCCGTACTCTTTTTCAAATAAATAAATAAAACTTTAAGGATAATAACTAAATAAATTTTTAAATTCCATTTTCTACAAACCCGTTGAAGAACCCTCACACAAGGAGCTGCCACGTTTAACAAATTAGTACATTAAATATCTTTTAAAAGAAGGAGGACAGTTCAATTGCTATGGTGCAAAAATGTGTGTCAATCACGAAGGACAGGAGAAACCTAAGAGTGACTAGGGGTGGCAGAGGCAGGCGGTTCCACTCTGCTAGTTCTTTTTCATTATTATTATTATTATTATTATTATTATTATTATTATTATTAGAAAGTCAGATATACAAAGAGGAGGAGAGACAGAGAGGAAGATCTTCCGTCTGTTCATTCACTCCCCAAGGGGCCGCAACAGCCGGAGCTGTGCCAACCAAACTCAGGAGCCAAGTGCTTCTTCCGGGTCTCCTGCACGGGTTCAGGGTTCCAAGGCTTTGGGCCATCCTCAACTGTTTTCTCAGGCAACAAGCAGGGAGCTGGATGGGAAGCAGGACTGCTGGGATATGAACTGGAGCCCAAATGGGATCCTGGTACTTGCAAGGACAGGACTTTAGAAACTAGGCCACCGTGCCAGGTCCCTCTTTTTTTTTTTTTTAAAAAAAAGATTTATTTATTTTATTTTTATTGGAAAGGCAGATACACAAAGCAGATACAGAGAGAAAGATCCTGCATCCTCTGGTTCACTCCCCACGTGGCCACAACTCCAGGAGCTAAGCCCAGCTGAAGCCAGGAGCCTCTTCCAGGTCTCCCACACAGGTTTTGGGCCATCCTCTACTACTTTTCCAGGCCACTTTTCCAGGCTCCGGGATATGAACTGGAGCCCATATGGGATCCTCTTGAATGCAGGGCAAGGACTTTAGCCACTAGGCTATCACGCCAGGCCCCATTCTGCTGGTTCTAGAACACTGCAGTGAGAGGAGGCATCTGTGAGTATACTGTCCTGTTCTCCAGCCAGGAGCCTGCTGTGTCTACGGCTTGCTGAGATGTGGCTTGTGCAACAGAGGAACACCATTTTTTTTAAATTACTTATTTATTTGAAAGAGTTTCAGAGGGGAAAATATCCTGCCTCTGGTTCACTTCCCAGATGTTTGCAGCACTGGGGACAGACCAGACAAAGCCAGGAGCCAAGCGCTCAGTGTGCCGGTGGCATGTGGATGGCAAGGTTTGGGTTAGCAGGAAGCTGGGTACGAAGCAGCGACCGAAGCCAGGCACTCCGACATGGAATTCAGGCACTCCAGCAGCATATTTTGTTTATAAGGTGTATTTATTTATTTGAAAGACACAGTTATGGAGAGAGAAGGAAAGACACACAGAAAGATCATTTATCTTTCATCCACTCGATCACTCCCCAAATAGCCCAAATGAGTGAGGCTGGGCCACACCAAAGCCAGGAGTCAGGAGCTTCATCCAGGTCTCCCATGTGGGTGCAGGGATCCCAAAGACTTGGGTCCAGGGTCCATTTCCATTGCTTTCCCAGGCATGTTAACAGGGAGCTGGATCAGATGTGGAACAGCCAGGACTCAAACAAGTGACTATGTGAGATGCCAACCTTGCAGGCAGCAACTCGTTCCATATAACACAACAGCAGCCCCAGGAACTAATTTTTTTTTAAGATTTTCTATTTTTAAAAATAAATTCATTTTATTTTTGATGTTTATATAGTGGAGAAGGACACGTGCCCATGTGGACCACCAACTACAGTCGGAAGGGTTGAGGATTGGGGGGAAGTGGATGAGACAACCGCCTCCAGTCTCCGTTTATCGTCCTGTATCTGGGGAAAATGGGAGAGGATGAGAGAGTGCCGCTCCCAGCAGCCCAACCGCGTCAGTCCCTGGGAACGGGGAAGGCCGCCTGATGTTACGAATTATTCCACCCTTTCTTTAACATACTTAAACCTCTAAATCTTTTTGTCCTTTTTACCTTTGTAGTTTAACATAAGCATTTTTCCTGTAGCCATGCTCTTTTTTTAACAAGCCATGCTCTTTTTTATTTTTTCTATTTTTTATTTTTTTAAGATTTATTTTTATTATGTTTTTATTGGAAAGGCGGATATACAGAGAGGAGAGACAGAGAGGAAGATCTTCCATCGGATGATTCACTCCCCAAGTGAGCACAACGGTCGATGCTATGCGGATCCGAAGCCAGGAGCCTCTTCCGGGTCTCCCACACGGGTGCAGGGTCCCAAAGCTTTGGGCCGTCCTCGACTGCCCTCCCAGGCCACAAGCAGGGAGCTGGATGGGAAGAGGGGCCGCCAGGATTAGAACCAGCACCCATATGGGATCCCGGGCGTGCAAGGCGAGGACCTTAACCACTTGCGCCACCGCGCTGGGCCCTCTTTTTTATTTTTAAAAATGTTTATAACTTTTTAAAATTAAGAACACGTTTGTTGGGGCTGGCACAGTAGCCTAGGGGCCAAAGTCCTCACCTTGCACGCACCAGGATCCCATATGGATGCTGGTTCATATCCTGGCTGCTCCACTTCCCCTCCAGTCCCCTGCTTGTGGGCTTGTGAAAGAAGTAGAGGACAGCCTAATGCCTTTGGACCCTGAACCTGTGTGGGAGACCAGGAACAAGCTCCTGGCTCCTGGCGCTCCTGGCTTTAGATTGACTTAGCTCTGGCCAATGCGGCCACTTGGGGAGTGAACCAGCAGATGGAAGATCTTTCTCTCTGTCTCTTCTCCTCTCTGTAAATCTGACTTTCCAATAAAATAAACAAATCTTTTTTTTAAAAGTGTGTATGTTTGTAACCATTTCTATCTTAATATAAAACTATCAGATAAGAGTGCATGGGTTTATGTCATACCTTGGAACAATTGGATAATGGATTAGACTGTAATTTTATGCCAGTTACCTTTGATATGTTATATTTTTAGATAATGCTGTAAATAATGCTTTGAGAGTTATATTTAGTTATGTACAAGTATTTATAGAGTATAAGGCAAAAAGGAAGTTTTAAGTCAAAGTTAATCGGCCTATTTTCTACCCCTGTCCCTCCTGGCTAAGAGATGAGGTGGAGGTAGAGTTGACAAAGAGAGGAGGAAAAAAATGCTGAAACTGGCCTTGAAGAAACTGCAGCTGCCGGGTGTGGCTGGTTTAACAGAGAAAAGGGGAGGAGGATGGGAAGAGCAATTGTGGCTGCTGCTGGGGGAGAAGGAGGAGTCAGAGGGGGCCAGAGGGGGCAGTGGTGGAGGAGGTTCAGCACGTGGAGGAGGCAGGGTAGGACAGGTGGATTCTCCCAGGGTGAGCCCTTGGAAATCAGATTGGTCAGGGGAAGGGTGAGTTAAGCAGTCTGAGTGTTCAGAGTTCGCTGGAAGAACTTGAGAGGGAGAGCAGGATTGACAGGTGGGAAGAATGGGAAAAAAAAGAAGGCTTAAATATAGGAAATCTCTAACCATTTGCCATTGCAGTGACACAAGTTGCCTAGATCACAGAGAATTTGGAGGTCAAGTTGAGTGATTGTCTAAGCTGTGTCAAGTCCAAGCCACGTTGCAGAAGAAAATTAGATCCAGGACAGTTTGAGTTGCAGAAGAGAATTTAGAGGTCAAGTTGAGTGATTGTCTAAGCTGTGTCAAGTCCAAGCCACGTTGCAGAAGAAAATTAGATCCAGGGCAGTTTGAGTTGCAGAAGAGAATTAGTTGGCATGGCTGGAGGTCTACGAGTTATAGGGTTTTGAGATTTTTAGGAGGCTGCCAACTGGTGACTCTGTAGAGGGCTTGGCTGGAATGTCCAGAACCCACAGTGGCAGGATCTGTGTAAACTCAGATTTCCATAGAGGGCAAAGTCCGAGAGCCAAAACGTAGAGGGGAATCTGTTGATAGGGTGGAAGGTTACATTCACCCATCACCTGCAGTGAGTAACAGGCCGCCATTAATCCAATCGGAGTAGCATGCTGAGAGGCAATGAGAGGTTTCCTTCACAAGAAGTCTGAATCTGGGTCTGAAGAAGTGATTGTGGTAGCTCAGATCTTCAGCAAGGAGAGCCAATGAGAGACCTTCAGACAGAAGGGGATGAACGGGAGGAGAGGGGAAAAAGACAAGATGGCGGAAAGGGTCCTGCCAGGTGGGACAGCCTGGCTGACGATTTTCCCAGGTGGGTGGAGTAGTCCACTGGGGCTGGGTGTTCTAGAGTCATCTGTGGCCTTCACCTCCTTTTTGCTGCCAAAACAAAGAGAGCTTGAAGGAACAAAGGGAGTCCAGAGAAGATGATGGGTTCGTGAGGGCAAGAAGCACTTGTGCTGGTGAGCGGGTGGAGCAAAGAGTGGCTTTAGATCAGAAATAGAAGAAAGTCTGGACAGAGGGGACCTCCTTCCATCCTCTCAAGTGCCAGCAAC